GGAGTGTGGTAGGGAATAATTTTTAAAATATTTTACGTCCAAAAACATATAAAAATAAATTTTTAAAAAATATTTTTAATACCAGCACATTAAAACAATTTAAAAAATCAAAAAAATCAAAAAATATTATTTCAACTGCAAAAATAAACGTTCTGTTTAGCAAGGAAAGTTGTGAGGATGCTGCTGCTCTGAGCCACTGTTATGGCTGCATTACGCTACACTACAGCCATAGCTACTGCATATGTCAATCACAGGTTGGTCATCCTGATGATTTACTGACCTGAAATGATCAATTGAAAACCCAATCTCCTTTCTTCTTTTATTAAAATGTAGTTTCAAATATTTTTCTTTAGAAAGAGAATCAAATCTTTAATGAATCCACGTCAACATCATGACTAATAACCCAAGCTTCGAACTGGGTTAACCAGGAGTAACAGTTTGAGGTATGGAACTGTTCTAAAATGAATAATAACGCAAAAATGAAATGAATTGCGGTGAACTTTATTTCTAGGTCAATTTGGATAAAAAGCAAAGGGATAGAAAGAAAATTGTGAGCCCATTAGAGGCACACTCTGAGAAGCGTGTATTCCAGTCCATTGACAAAGAAAAAGTACATATACTAGACAACTTTTAACTCTTTAAGCCAAGCTGTGTGTAGGGGGCAAGGATCAGGTTTCCCTTCAGCAACAGCCTTGTCGGAGAGAGAATAGAACCAGCCATTCCTCCATTTAAACTGGCAAGAAATCAACTTTCATGTGAGAAGCAAAATCACAGCAAAATAAGGTCAGGGCTCAAGTCTCAAACTACTTTGTGCTAAATGCTTCAAAGGTACGACTAACAAAAACATTTACCTCCTTGACAGCTGTTGGGAAATGGGCAACAGCACGTGAGTAAGCACATAACCTTTCCTCAATAGCTTCTTCAAATACTATTCCTTTTTCTTCAGCTGCTGCAGAAGCAAGTTCTGCGATAAGGCTAGACACCTGGAAACATAAATATCAGTATCAATCGGATCTATTCATGTTAGAGATCTCATTGTGCTTTAACAATTCCAAGAACTCAATAATCATAATCTTGTGAAGCAAAGGTCTTCACAAGGAGAGGAAGCTTAGCGAATGGCTGAAGGGAAAGGGCTTCTTGCCAATTTGTCCAGGCATGACTGTCTTAGGCATAAAATAATCTAGTAAGTTTAAGTACAAGATCGTGATTGACGCACCACAAAGAAAACAGAAAAACAGTGAGCAAAAAATGCCTAATTTCACAATTATACCATCCAATTGATGTAAATCTTAAAGTCCACAAAGCATACAGAAATAACACTGATAGGGTGTGTCGGCTTTTTTAACCAGCATCAAGTACACAGTGAATTATCTGCAATTAAATGAAGGCGTTCTGGAAATAAATAATGAAATAAGCAATTTAGTTGATCTAAAATTCACTATAAACTATAAATATTGCAAAAGATATGCAGTAGCTTAAAACTCCTCAAACTCCGATGCTTTAACACATCATTGTCAACAGCACATTTACCTCAGAGCGGAATTCTTTCTCCACAGCACCAACAGTTGCCCCTGGATGACGAGCTCCAACAAGCATGAATGCTGAAATCCAGATCAGCTTCTCTAACATTTGCTTCTGAAAAGTTTCCTTGTCGAGAACCTGAATACAACAATGAATAATAATGTAAATATGCCAGACTACTATCACAACATGAATTCCTCAATTCTGAATGCAAAGGGGAAAGAAGGGGAACATTAGACTAAGTTTGGCCACTGTAAAAATTGAAACCCAAAACACCTATCCCATCAAAGTGCCAAACTTTGCCTTCTATATACAAATATCATTGGATTACATAGTTAAACCTGACACTCTGAGCTTTATTGCGCCAACCTCCACTCCCTACCACCACAGCCCCACCTTAACATTTTTTTTTTCCTGAAAAGCCTAATGAATTCCCTCATAACGGTTTCAATCAGACAATAATTTTTTTTAAAAAAAAAAAAAAACTTCTTTACCTTACAGGAGAGACCTCCAGCATGCAATCTAGCAGCTACTGCAGACGCCCATTTTCCATATGCTGCAGTCAATCCTTCAGGATTGGTATCAGTCTTTCCATCAATAGGAGGTTCTCCAAGCTTTGAGACAGCAAAATATGCCAGCACTTGGTCTGCATCACCAAGACCTTTACTTTGAAACCATGGCTCCAGCATCCCATTCTGGAAAAAAACCAAATCTGCTAGATTGTCAACACCACTCAATCAATCTTCACCATTTATCAGAAGCCATAAAATGAATAGCAAAGATTAAAACAATCCAAACTTTCAGACCAAATAATTCCATAATAACATAATCCAACAGCATTAATGAAGAATGCACTGGAGTTTTATCACTCAACCGTGTTCATTTTGACACTAAACTATCCTAAAATTTTAAGCAACACGAGGGGTAACCAAAACATTATAGACACCTATATCTTCCAATTAAACATTAATCCCAAATAAAGCATAGAAAAATGAGTACCCTACTATATAGCACTCAATTCAATTAGAACATAAAATAGTATAATTCAATCAACAAAACTAAAAACAAAAACAAATTGTTATGTAACCATTTTCATAAAAGCAGCAAAGTAACGTATAATCAGGTATCAGTACCGCTCCATCTAGACTTAGGTGTGACTTCAAGAACAGCATCAAGATCGTCATTTCTTGTACAAACCAAAATGGGACCCTCAAAATCAAGTGGGACAGGGTCTCCTCTCTTCACCAGCAAATCCTGACCACTACCCATTTCTTGTAAGGCCCTTCCCACCCTTCCACCACCAACAATCACAGCTGGGGCCACCTTGGCAGCAGTTGGGGCTGTGGCCATAGCTAAAGTTTGAGTCTTTTGAGTTCTAGTAATGATTCTGGTGCCAAAAAACTTGAACTTTGAATTGGATTTAATGAGAGAGGAGTTACAGAGAGTAGCTGTGAGTGTGTGGGTGGCCATGTGTTTTGGTGATGATGATGATGGGTTTATTAGTGGTGCAGGAGATGGGTTTTGATTGTGTTGGGGCCATGGTGACTGCTAATATTGAAGAAGCAAAGTGACAGCAAGAAGGGGATCCGGATCACCACTCAATTTCTACCTATTTATCCAAAAATAAGCACAGGCCCCCATCGTGTCATTTGTTTTTCCCTTACAAATTACATTCAACATAGATTTTTATGAGTTTATTATAATTTACATGAAAAAATTTATAAATTCTCTATAGTATAAAAAATAATAAAATAATTCTTTGATAGTGCTAATAATATTTAATTTAAAAACATTTTGTTTTGAAAATTTACTTCTTTTTTCATCAAATTTTCCATTTTATCTACTTGTTTTTTATTTCTTAAATTAAAAATAAAAAATGAAAAAGAACATAAAATGAATGAAAATAAAAAAAATTACAAAACAATTATAAATAAAAAAATAAATAATATTTTAAAAAAACTATGAGGACTAATTAATTGTTTTTGCTAAACTAAGTTACAATTAACTCAAATTGTTATTTTTTATATGATCCATTTATTTTATAAAAGAAAAACTAATTCATCCCTTTCTAAATTGCATTTTCTAAGGAAATTCTGCATCATTTCCTTGGAGTAATAAAGAAGCTCCAATAAAAGCAATCTCAAACCAGGCCTAGAAATTTCCGTCGGTTCAAGTAACAAATAACTAAAATTTAATTTATGTTTTGTAACTAAATTACATTAAACATGTACGCTTTACTTGATATTTTGTAAAAAAATAGCAAATTAAGTAATGATTTGAAGTCAATATAGCAACTCCTTAAAGATTTATCTATTTTATTTGCAAAGTCTTGCATCAATATTTTTTAGGGTGAGAGCTGCTCGAGAAAGGATACCGTTGAATAATAATGTAATTTTTGGTAAAAAAAAAATAATATTATGCAATTTTATTTATAGTTTTAAAATTTGATCTGGTGTAATAAGTCAACTTGAAACCCGATAAATTTAGGGTTGGAATTGGACTGGATTAAAGAAAAAATAAGAGAAGAAAAAACCGGGTCCTAGGTTAAAAACCCGGTTATAACCTTTTAATTTTTGTTTTTTTACTAAAATAATTTCTTTTTATTTAAAAAAATTAAACCAAATAACTAAATAATCTAATCAAAACCTAAAATCTCAATCTTGAATCCGACCAGCCACCAGCCAAATATAAGACTATAGTGTTATTTTTAATTTAATTGATAAATAAATCATTTTATAACTTGAATTTTGGATCTTGACTAGGTCATCAACTAGATTAGATAGTCTTGTCGTTAGAGTCATCAACAACACTTCTAAAATTTTATTATTATAATACAATAGTACCATAAGCAAATTTACATCAAAAAAATTACTCTAATTCTTTTTTAGTTTAATTATCTCTTCATTTTATCCCAATTTCTTTTATAAATTATAATTTACATTCTGGTCAATCAATTTAAATTTGAACGAAATAATAAATTTACCTTTATCTATAATACAACATAAACAATCAAAATTTACCCTTCATAAAAAACCCAAAATTAATTTCATAATCTAACCTTTCTCTCCTCTCTAATAACATAAAATATCACAAAAATCAAAACCTAATCTTTAGTGTTTAATCAATTTGTTTTCTCTTCACTTGTGGTGAGAGTTGTAAATCAATTTGTTTAAATTTTTATTATAATTTGAATTCTACCTCATAAATATATTTCATAATCATAATTGTACAATTTTTAAAGTTATAGTTAAAGTAAAAGTATTTTTAATCTCAAAATAAATGGATTTTTAAGTGAATGTATAAAAGAGTGATATTTTTTGTCTCTATGCATTTTAAAAGTATATTTTACTTGAAAAAATATATAATTAATTATTTTTAAGAATTTTCAATAATTTTAATATATTGATAGTAAAGATAAAAAAAATTAAAAAATGTATATATAATTTGTTTTTCAAGAATTGTTTTTTTTAAATCATCTTCACCTCGGTACAAAACACTAACCGAGAATCCTGCCCTCCTCATGCAACTTCCTTCAAATCTCTCAGTTTCCCAGAACACAAAAGAATCCTTCTTGTATAAATCAGACTTTCTCGAAACAAGCCAACATTCAGAATTCAAATCCACTCCCATTAAAGACCACTCGACCACAAACCCTCTCAAAGTTCAAAAAGATCAAAACTTTCTCTGTTACTATACCAAAGCGTGGCTGGTTTCAAGAGACACATGTCACCAAACCAATCCTCGTACAACTCTGTTTCCCAGCACCAGCATGCTATGCAGTGAATGACCTCATTGCAAAAGCACCGACAACAAAGATAACATTAAGACAACTACCATCTTTAGTAATGTTGACAAAGAAATGCAGTGCCCAACAATTCAAAGCCTTTGTCGACAGATGGGTCTCTCTGCTTTGCCAAAGCCACAGTTAACCAACATGAAGTCTTTGTCAACTGGCAGAGTTTTAAAGCCTTCTTCTTTACAGTTGTGTGTGCAAATGAATGAGCCTGAAAAGGTTTTCAAGTCTAGAGTTTGGAACTCTGTTCAGTCTGAGAATTCAAGTTCTGTTAATATCTGGGACTATTCAGATGCTGAGGATACTCATACATCTTCTTGGTCTGCAATGCCCAATAGGTATTTCACAATTATTTTTCTGTTCATGTTCGTGTTCGTGTTCGTGTTCGTGTTTTTTTTTTTTTTTGTTGATACGTAACTTGGTATTGTGGATGTGGATTTCATGGCATCATTGTGCAGGCCATTGCCACTGGACATAGGGAGATTTACCTCTGTTATATTGAAGGAAATACTGCCAGGAGGGTTAAGGTGGGGGTGGGGTGGGTCCATTGTACTCACTTTATATCAATGTAAGCTGTTCTCTTACTTGTGAATAGTTTGATCTTTTCTTATATGAATTGCCGATAACGTTTCGAACAAATGTTGCCAGTTTCCATATTGAAATCAGATTTTGGAGTGAGTCTCTTTCATGGCATTTGGTTCGTTTAGGAGATATAATATAATGACTGGTGACAAGGGCTGCCGAGCCTGTTGTGACTGCCACATCCGGTCGTCTGTGGCTCACGCACACTAGTGGAACCCTCCAGTATGTGTGGATCATGGATTGTCTAAATAGGACAGCCGTGTCCGGTGCTGTTAACCCTGGCAGTTATCTAATAATCTTTTTTCCTTGGAAATTCTAGTTTGTTGTTGGTAAACCAAACATTATTGAAGGGATTCCGAGTTCCTAATTTACTGGGAACAATCTTGGAATTGAAATGGAGTTCGATTGAATTTCATGATGAACTTGTATGTTCAGTACTAACCAATGCATGTGAGAGTCGATTTGTACTATCTGTTTTCATTATTTGAAGAACAAGGGAGATTTATACATACTTAAACATTCCATAAGAACTTGTAGATTTAGCCATTCTATGATTTACAAATCCAAACTATTTAGGTTAGATTTGTGAGATTTGATACTTACTTGGTGAAAGCTCACCAAAAAAATTGTTGATTCTTAACAAATCTGAACTAAATTTATCGGATTTTGTAGTCGTTAGTCGCGACAGGCACGGCTGCATCTAGCACCAACCTGGTGTAAATAAGTTAGTTTTTTGGTCTATTCTTGTTGATGATGCAGCTCATTTTATCGGAGTAGTGGTCAAGAAAATTGGTGGATGGACATGAAAGAGTGGAGCATCTATATGATAGTCAACACTTGGTGAGCGAGGAGAAACAATTCAAGCAACTTGGTGGCGACTGTATTATTTCTTATTCTCAATATAGAATATTTTTCCCTAACTAGAATACTTCTTCAGTGTCTTCAAGAACACTATGAAGGCATTGGAAATTCTTTCTCAATACCTCAAAGGTTTTCAATGCCTTCTCAAACATCTCGTTTGCCGTTAACCAGATAAATCCAGTGACGTTTTAGTCTAGAATTGCCTCGCTATAGTTGCATCTCAAAAGGTTGTCCACAAGAAATAAAATTAAAAGAGCTACTCAAGAACATATTATGCAGTATTCAACAATTCTAATACTTGTGAAGGATGTCATAGCTGTATGTAAATTGAGCTCAAACATAAATCTAGTGATTTCAATCATTCACAACAACACTCTTGAGGAGGAGACAAAAACATAGAGGTTGAAATGGTGAAAAGAAAATGTTCTCACAATAACTCAATCAAAGTCGAACTTTGGCCCACAAAAAGTAAGAATGAGATGCTATAGCCAGATCCAACTGGTCTAGCACTAAGATTTAAGCCGTGTTTAGGATTGCTGCATGAAAAGTTTTGTGCAGTCTCAAAAGTGTTCTCTAGGCTTCAAGGGGCTGCACAACATATGCTGTGAACACTCCCAAATGGAGGACTAGTTTGGTTGGATCTTGCGAAAAGGCTGAGGATTAGATATTGTAAAAGGCAATTGATTGGAAATGATCAACTTAGTTCAGTTGAAAAATGCTTCCCCTTATTTCTGAAGCAACAGATTGATTTAAACTGATGAAACTCTCCCCATTATACCAACCGATAGATTTGATCCTAAAACCTTTCACATGAGTATCATATAACTCAGGGTCGTAGATGTGTTCCGGAGTTGGTGTTCTTGATGGTCTGTGCTGAGTGTTTTTTTCAACATTAGTATATGCATCATACAGTTCTTTCGAACATCTTATTGGAAGGCAATCGCTAATGGATAGACAAGTCCATACGATGCAGAGACTGCTAATTCATCAAGTCTACTAATTCTGATTTGAATTGCTAGATTATGAATATTATAATTCTGCAATGTATGGTGTTTTTGCAGAATTCAAATCAAGATATTGCGAAGTTTAAATTTTTCAAACTTGAGTGCTGAGATGTTGTCTTGGCTAGGATTTGGGATTTATAGCTTCTGCGTACCTGGTTAACTGTTACACATCTATCTGTTTACCCACATACAAACATAGCATCTGCAGTGCACAGCTAATTTGAAGAACTACGGTTGTTGTTCTTATTTGGGTGGAGCAAAGCTTTCAGCCATAACGTATAGAAACACTGAGACTGAGTACTTCGGTTTCCCACTGCTAAAGTCTAACACCCGATATGATTAAGATTTCACCCTTGGAACCACAGGAAGGATAGGGATGATGGAATCGGAAACTAGCTATGGCTCATCATAAGCGGGTAGTGGAAAGTCAGAGTTTACTATAGCTCAGAATTTGAAGGGAGTTTTGTCTAGTTCAGATGATAGCTTATTTGGAAAGTTAACAGCAAACCTCATGGATTCCAAGTATCACATATGGGATCAGGTTCAATCCCATCATCGATGTTTATCAGATATCCTCGAACAGGTTACAGCAAGCATTTTGCATATGTTTGGCATCCATTGATCCAAAACTTTGTTGCTCGTGTTGCAGTTCAACCTCTTTTAAGAAAATAGAGTAAACAATTTGCACCAACATTTCTTGGAGTGCTATGAATATCCGATGAAAATGAACAATCATGAAGCTGTACATCCCTAATACCAACCATTTGGCATCTCAAGCTGCAGTTGATCCGCAGGTTTGTGGATCGGGGGAACTTGCAATGTGAAAATATAATAACAATTTTAAAAAAAATAAATAAATTGTACATTTAAAAAAAACGAAGAGAAGAACAAATTGTTCCTCCAAGTGTGATTGCCGCGATTCTTTCTCCACTAATCATAAAAAGAAAAAATTAAAAAACATTGTTCCTCCATTGCTTTTTTATTTTTTAATTAATAAACATCTAATTTTCTCTATCACTTTCATTGAAATATTGGTATCGAAGCTCTACCTCATCATGACGCTTTTCTCATCCTTTCATTATTGTTTCGCAGCTTGTTGAATGTCGTCAATAGCAACATTATCTAATGCCTTCGTCGGTTTTTCTTCTTGTAGTTTTGAAATCCTACCTAGCTTGGGTTAACTTGCGGATTAAAGATTTGAATGGATAAAATTTGCTTTAAATTCATTCATGTAGTTAACTTAATCAATTTCTTTTAAAAAATAGTATATATTTTTTTGAAATGATATACTTTTATTAAAAAAAATTCAAAACAATATTATTAAAAAAAAAAGTTCAATAGATAGTGATATAAACCTTAAATTTAAGACTATTAATCGGATGTGGGATGTGTTGTCGTTAAGGTCTCCTCAAACAAAGCTAAAGAACCTAGGAATTGAAGAGAGAATTAGAAAAAGAAAATAAAGAACTAAAAGCGAGAGATGTACTCCAACTGCAGAATTATCTCAATTTTCTGGGAGTGCAAATTCTTGATACAAATAATGATTTTAATAAATAATGAACTCTAGCTTCCTAACTTTCTCTAACTGACTAGCTAACAAATAATTAACAACTCTAACCAACTAACCACTACAACTAACTAGCTTTCACCGCACACTATTTTTTTATTTACAGTTTTGACTATTATTATTTAAAAGAGTATCTGAGGATATAGTAATCATTATTTTTTAAAAGTGTTTTTTATTTAAAAATACATTAAAATAATATTTTTTTTATTTTAAAAAAATTATTTTTAACATCAAAATTATTAAAAAATAAAAAATAATAACTTTAAATAATTTTTTTAATTTTTTAAAACTTCATTTCCAACGCAATGCTAAGCAGCCTCTAATACTGCTTCTTTTGCTAATTCTAAATATTTTCTTTCTAATTGTCACACGATGTTATTGATACGTTTCTTCCTTGATTTCCAAGCCTAAATAATATATCCAGCCACAATTTAGAAAAAAAATGTTAGAAAAAACATGGTATTTTAATTTGAGAAACTATAGTTTTTATTATTTGTTTGTTATTAAGCAGTTGTTATAGCTATTATAGCTATTAATAATATGGCTTAACTGAGAAATGAATAAAAAAGTTAAATGAGTCAGAAAACTTACTTGCATAAACATCCCATACACAAAATCAAATGTTAAAAACTTTGTAATAAAAAACAGTTGTAGCTATACAACTAAATTAGCTTTTTTAAAATCTTCTTGCTTATTCAAATGATTCCTAGTATTATTCTTCTCTCTATGAATTTTCTTTAAAAAAAACCATAGAAGAAAACATATTGCTTGTATTATTAATATCATTGAATTCACCTTGCTAATGTTATAATATTGTTTTTTTTTTAATTCAAGTAACAATACACAACTTGATGTTTTGAACAAGCATAACAACAATAAATCTTAAAAGAAGTGTTTTTAAAATTATTATATACCACATAAAGACTAAGAAATCTAAGCATAAGAGCAAAATCTTCTAACCATTTTGAAATTAAAAAAACAATGTGATTCTCATTTTCAATAAACACTAAAATTATATTTTTGAAAACTAAAACAACTATTATCTATATCATTAAATGTTACACGAACACCACTATAAATAACTGAAAAAAATTCCAAAAAAAATTGAAATTACCTTATTAGTTTAAGGCTGATACTTCCTTTTTATACAAAATCATTTAAGTTGTTGTGACATTATTATTATATCATTATAATCATTTAAACAGCATTACTTTGTTTTAACTAAGACAGACCCCTTTCCTAAATTTCTCGTATCTTTTAGTCCTTTTAGTCATGTAAGAAATTTTTAAGCTACTTACTCATTTTTTTTTAGTACTAACTTCTCCACTCTATAAAAATCTTCTTTGCGTGAAGATAATTTTCTTTGTTATGCCTAATGAAATTTTAGACAATGAAATATAATAGAGTGGAAGGTTAAATAATATAAACAAAATATACATAAAAAGATATTCAATTTTTTAAAAAATTGATTTTCAAATGGAATATAGTCTTATGTTAGCTTATGGAGGAAGGCCCAAGTATTTTACAGGTAAAAAACTTGATTTACTTCTCAAAGAATCTGTTGCTCCTTTATTATAATCCAATCAAAGATTGACACCAATTAAAAGACTTTTATGGAAGTTGAATTTTAAACTTGATCATAGTTGAAACGAATGATTTTAGTACTTTTAAGAGCTTCCAAATTACTTGGAAAAAATATCATTATATCATCAATATATTGAAGCAAGTTGAATAAACTTTTTATATTTTATGTTTATAGATTTCCTATCATCTCCTCTACAACAACAACTATCTATTTTTTTTCTTCCTTAATTCATTAAAGTGAATGTGGTTTGAGAAGTTATGGTTAGGGTCTGTTTAGTAATGTAAGGAAACATGGTTGAAACTATATTTTTTTTAATTATGATTTTTGAAAGTGTTTAATTAATTAATACATATATCACAGTTTCACGTGGATGTCATTAAAAACTCTCTTTAAATGTTGGTTATGAAAACAATTACAATTTATAATTTTTCATAAACATATTTTTTTCAAATTGAAACCACAAAACTATTACAATGCTATAAAAGCTTGTTGAGAACAATGGTAAAAGTTTTTTTTCAAAAAACATTTTATTTGAAAATATATTAAATTAATATTTTTTATTTTTAAAAATTTATTTTTAATATCAACATATCAAAATAATTTAAAAATATAAAAATAAAATACAAAACTCGTGTTAAAAAACATGACAAACACCCCCCGACCACACTTAAATCTGATTATTTTTTTTCCAATCCTACGTATTGCTTTCGGTGCCTAATACCTAATTGATTTAACCTGATCAAAAATCAAAAGTCAAAACTCCTCATAAAATCCTCCTTGAATTTCTTGCCAAGTATTTGACGGCATAGCCGCGAACCTATAATGCCCTAAGCGCAAGAGGCTGTAAGAGTCTCTCTTACTGTGAGCACACACGGATGATCATTTAAAGGCATTAAAAAGTTAGAGGGAAGATGGTTCTTTAAATTCAAACATTAACTTCCAGCGAACAAGGTGTCGCGTAGTACAAATTTTGTGGTCCATTATTCTTGGACCAATTTCTATCGTCTATTGGTCTGTCTTTTGAATCATTAAAATGTCATTTTCATGGATCTTACTGGCAACTTCCTACCGTCTAACCTCTAGTTAATTTCTGATTTGATTCAATCTAAGAATCATAAAGGAATATGAAGGGGCCATGTAAACAAAAAAAATTACTTTTAACCCTTCAATATCTGCTTACCACACTGTATTTCTCTGATAAATATACTATGCTTGATACTTGACAGAAAATGAGCTCATGCATGCCATAGATTATAGAATTTAAAAAATAAACTTAATTACTATAAGGTTAGATTTGAAACAACTATTTAAAAAAAATACATTTATAAAAATTTAAAAAAAAATTGATGGTGAAATGTGATATTCGGTTTTTAAAGGGGAAAAAGAACTAGAATCAAATCAACCCTAAAGAAAATTAATTTAGAAGGTAACGATATGCAATCAATCTTAAGTCATGGATATTAATTATATATGAAACCAAAGAGGTAATTTAACGATTTAAAACTTATTTATACCAATAGAAAGCTTTTGTTAAAGTTTTTTTATTCAATTAAGCAGCCCAACCTCCGCAGTCTCCATCTTAATTTATTTTTCCTCATCGCAAGACCATTATTGTTATTGCTTCTATACATTATATGTCACCACTTATGAAAAAGACCATGATGTGTCATTTTATGTACACGGTATCCTTTGCAATATGATCTCACCACATTAGTAATAAACTGAAAGCTAAGTATATGGCTATTACTATTTACAAGTTAGTTTTCACCTAACAAGAAAATTACCTAAACACTTTAAAAATCTGAGATTTTTTTCCATATCTGATCAAATAATAATAATAAACTGTTCATGAAAATTTAATTAAAATTAATTTTTTATTATTGAAATGTTTAAATAGATTATGAACATGATTTTATTACATTTATGATTACTATTTTAGCTTCCAATCACACAAAATATAAACATACTATTTTGATTTTTTTTTTGTTAATTTGCTTTAACAATCATAAAACATTTTTTAAAACAAAAACATTGTGCTGACTAGGATAGATAAAAGATATGTTTATAAGAAAATTTATTTTTATGGAAAAAATCAAAATAATTATATTTTTTGTATTTAACGACAATGCCAAAAAATTATCTGAATCTAAAAAAAAATTAAATTATGTTTAAAAAATTTTAGATCGCTTGTAGTGCAATGTAGGTATACAAACTAGTATAGTTATATGATCATAAGTAAATTAATATATTTTTCAATAGAAAAAAAAAAGAGTCCATACCATGCCAAAATTAGTTGTCTTATTATTTGAAATATTGATAATGAATATCTAACTTCGTCTATATCTACATGTAAATAAACAATAACAATTAACAAACTCTCTTCTTTCCAAAATTTAATTAAAGAAGAGAAGCATGTACCTAAAACAAAATCTGAATTGTACTCTTTAATTAATCTTACCCTTGTTCATCACCCTTACCTCCTATTCACAAATCCAAAGATATGTATATAATTGTAAGGATATATTTGCGCCAAAAACCACTTCCTACCCATCCAATTCGCAATGAAAAATCGGTGAAGCAAATGAATGTAGGTCTCCAAATATAATGTCATCACCATCTGTGTAGCTACTGGAGTCCTGGCAATCAAAGTAAGTTTGGATGTCATCTGGGAAGCTCCTACGAGGCGGATCGCGGTCGGATTCGGGTGGTGTCAAAGGGCAATCCGAAGCTGATGTTCTCTCCAACATTTCCTTGAACTTTGAGGACTGCAACAGAAGCCCTAATGCAGATGACGCCGAGCCACCAGCACCACAAGGCCTTGTTGTAGCCACTTCTGTGTCATTAACATTCGAACTTTGTTGATGTGACATGAAATCCAATTCAAGCTTTTGATCAAGGTTTTGTATAGGAATACTAGCATCGCCATTAGGGTTTTGTTGAGGATTATTAATATTATTTTGGTTATCGGGACGTAGCCATTTGACGTAGCGGCTTAGGTCAAAGTTTGTCACAGCATTTAGTCCACGGTACTCAATAGCTGCCATGTCATATGCTGTAGCTGCTTCTTCTTGAGTGGCTGAAAAGAGAACGTACGTAAGACGACTTTAGGTGTAGCTTGTCGTAAAAGGTAGACATGATCTGTAGAACAATTTAAATATACAAGCTAATTTTGGTACAATATGGATGGATATTGGAGATTTTAATTATGGATGAATATTTTGGTGAGGGAGCTTTGAAATTTAAATTGCCGACTCAAGTAGTTGGGGTTTGGTTCATCTATATCCCAACCAACAAGATCTGATTGCACCATAAAATCTACCTTTTAGACTTTATCCTAATATTTTGACTAATGCATGGTCATATTATTGATATGAAATCGAGTTCATTAATCTCTTAATTTGTTTGAAAGGGTTGTTTACACTATAGGTTAACCTTATTTACTTGGAATCATTGTGTGGATTATGAAGTAAAGTGACGTTGGGGCAATTGTAGCTCGACACATAAAGAACCAAGTGGGTTTGTGGGCATAAAAGTCAAGCACTAGAGTTAATTGTTTGAATGAAACTTGTTTGGTGTTTAAGTGAAAAGGAAATCAGGATTAAGAGAAGCTTGTTTATGCAACAGTACTTAACCTGTAAGTTTCCTATCTCATAGTTAGAAATTTGCAGGGTTTTTTCAATATGTTAAGTTTTTTTATGAATTTTCTAAGAAATACATTACATTATTGCTGGGAAATTTTATTGTATTCATGAAATAAATATAAATAGTTATTTAATTTGAAGATAGATATTTGAAATTCATCAAAGTGATAAAACTATTTTCACATAAGTTGAAAAATATTTTTTTATTTTCTTGGTTTATTATTTTTCACTTCTTCTTTTATCTATCTCTTTTTCGATTGTAAATATAAGTGTAATTATTTCCAAACATCATAAAATTTCTTACGTTAAACTTATATATGTATATGATTTCTAGCTTCTTTTATTTTTCCTTTTATAGAAACCTATGTGTAGTTGGCTATTAAAGATAGATAGTTGGAGAAATTAAGGAAGGTAATGCATATGCATAGACATTTCCTTAAGGATTATATACTTTAAAAGGGTGAAAAACTTACCATATGTTCCAAGGTAGAGGTACTTGTTGCCGAAAACTCTGCCAATTCGAGCTTCCCATCTTCCATTATGATGGTGTCTGCATGCCAAATATTTTAGATTGCTGAATATTAGAGTCATTATCACACAAAGCATAGAGATAACATCCACCACTTAGATTTTTGACTGGTAAATTGGGCTATTACATTGTTTAAGTTATTTTTACACTATTAAATTAAAACTCCCGGATTAGTGAAAATGTAACTAAATACTGTAAGTTCATCAGCATACGGTGTTCATCAAATATTTCAATTTTTGAAAAGTTGCATGATTGTCTAATTAATTCGTTTTATTTTCCTTTGGGGCCGGGTAAGGGTCTTAATTATCTAGTTAGTTGAGAACATCAAGCGTTAATTGCTATAAAAAGATACGAGATTAAACAATTAAGAAAAATTAAAACACCTAAATAATATCAAAGAAAGAAAAAACATAAAAATATTATCTAAAAAGAAAATAGAAAATTAGAGACAACTCTCATTGTTTAACCTATAATTAGAATAGAGACACATAATATTTATTTTACATAAATATTTAAACTACACACACACACACTGGCATCACTAAAAGGAAATCAGGTCATGCCGTGAAGAAGAATTCAAATAGAAGCCAACGAAAGCACAGATAAATCTAATTTGTGTGCAAGAATAAACATTTGGTATATACATACGCGAAGTGTTTTATTATTATTATTATTATTATTTTAATATGTAGATATTAAAAATAAAAATATATATTATTTTGATATATTTACAAATAAAAAATATTTTAGAACATAAATACTAAAATTTATTTTTCTATTCTAAAAAAAAATCAATTGAATATTTCTCACGACATAAATAAGAGAGAGAGAGAGAAGACAAAATGCAGTAAATATATTACCTGGCCACACCTCTATACTTGGACACACCGCGTGAAAACCCACTACTTTTTCTGTAAATTCCATCAATAGAAATGAGCATGGCATTAATAAGACATACCTTTATCTTTTTGTAAATGTTTCTTAATATTTACCTCCTCAGGGATCCAATATATTCTTCTTTTGAATTGCCCTCCATCTCTTTGAGCTCTTCTTCGTAAGTTGACAGCTGAAATCAATTAATCTCTTTAGATATAACAAGAAAAAAAAAAACTAAAATCAAGGCCATGAAAGAAAAGATTTAAGGAAGATGGATAATATTGAGCTGTCAAGATTATTTACAGGAAAATTGAGGATAGTATCTTGTCCCCAGTACTTTAATGCTGCCAAGTCATAGGCATGCCCAGCCGCTTCTTCGTCATCATAGGCCCCTAAGAAATTAAAACCATTATCACAAATGTAATTATTTCTACAGTTTGCTGGGGCGCATATATATCAAATTGAAGAAAACAGTTCGGATTTATGTGGAATTTTGAATAAGAAAATTGGTTTTTCCACCTTTAAGAAACAATGTTTAAGACATTTTAGGATATTATGGAATTATTATTCAATATATATAAAAGTTAAGCAAAGAGGGCATGTACCTAAATACACTGCAGACAGTTCAATTCCACCGGCATGGCACCATTGAAGTCAAAACCAAAAACAGTACCAAGTAAATGAAAATGTTAAATTAACAATTCAATGATGACAAAGACGATGAAAGATTTGGAGGCGATCGAAGATGGAAAACGACTAGAAGGAGGAAGAGTAGGAGAAAGAAGATGGATAACCTTGTCTTCCTTTCTTGTTCTGTGACTCATTCCAGCAGTTCTTATCCCACAAATGAGCCTCATAACGTCCGGTCCATCGATGCCTAAGGCAATCATGTACAGAAATGAATCCTGATCAGAATAAGAAATCAAATAGAAAAACTTCAAAAAGAAAAGAATGTGATTAAACCTTGTAACGCCTCTATAGATGGAGCTGCGTTGAGTCGGAGAGTCGCGAGGAACACTCTTTCTAGTCCGCTTCACCTTGGTTGTGGGATTAATGCTAGTGTTTGCAGAGTTCTTTAGGCTTTGCTTCGATGTTTTTCCCATCTAACTTCACCAATAGAAGTCCACAGACACACACACACACACACACGTAAAAAAAGTGTTGGGAGGCAGATTTTGAGAGAGGGAGAGGGAGAGAGAGAGAGAGAGAGGAGGGGGAGGATCGTGACTAGGTCATCCAATGAGAAGGGATTTTAAAAGAAATGAGAGAATAGATATAGGGAGTTTGTTTGATGGGATGGAAAAATAGAGAGAGAAGCCGGCTGGAGATGGTGTTTTTTGTGGCCGTCTATAAGCGGCTTTGTGTGCAGCCTCTTTCCCTCTTGTCTTCACTTCCGTGTACTTTGTGTTAGGTTCTTCAGCGTGTTATATGGGTGAAAGTATGATAGGACTTCAACCATTTTTGCTCCTTTGCCCTAATCGATTGAGGGTGTGTTTGGCTTGCTCATTTAACCTGTTTTTTATTAAAAAAAAATAAAAAAAAATATTTTAATACATTTCCAAATAAAAAAATATCTCAAAACAACCTTTATCATATTCTAAACATTACATAGGTAATTTTGCCGTAAAATACAAGTGGTGTGCTTGGCTTATTCAGCACACACTCGTAAACTAACTTGTACTGCTCCTTTTTTTCTACTCAATCATGGAAGTTTTTGGTTCTGCCATGGCATGGGTTGGTTGGATCCAATGGTGGGCTTTTGCTTTGATATGTCTTGGGTTGACATTTCTACTATTCTAATTTGGAGGCTAGCGTGAGGTTTTGGATTTATGGATCGTACTGCCTGATTGAATGTTGCCATGGCTTTTCTGTTTTTCAAAAGGATTAGTTTTCATGTCTTCTGGATCTAAATTTAAGTCCATGAATTGCCTTTTGAATTTTATATTTTTTTATTAAAAATAAAAAATAAACCAGTCTACGTTTATTTACGTAGAAGATATATGAAAACTAAATTATTCTTATAATAAAGTAGGAAACACCATGCTATTAACATTAAAAAAAAAAATCTTCAATAAAACGTCGAGGAACCATTCTGTCGAACAGTTTTTTTTCTTATGAATTTTTGTCAATTTTTTCTTTAGTAAAACTCTTTTTTTATAAAATATATTTTTTTATTTGAAACATGATTTTTTTTAATATAATTTAAAAGGCGAGTTTCAATAAAAAAACAAAAAACATTATGTCTGGATAATCCTTAAGGGAATTTATACAAAAACAAAGGAATAATTAATTTGAGAGATTTCAAATAAATAAATAAAGAAAAATATATTTTTTTCATATCATTCAATATTCATGAGATAATTGCTAAAATTACAGTTCAAAAACCTCTAATTTGTATTTGAAAAGTATGGTATCGTCATATGATTTTTAAAAATAGTATTGTAATTATTTTATTTCAAAATATTAAAAAAATGAAAATTAAATAAATAAAAAAGAAAAATTAGGGAAGGGCCGAAAGACCAATGCCTAAGGGTGTTTGGATTCAAAAGGATAGTACATGCATGTCTGATCTTGCAAGGCTAAGCTTGATGTCTAAGCTCTCTCTCCTTTTTTTTTTTTAAGAAGTAAAGGAGTAAATGATGCGTTGTTTATTTAGGCAGATAACGTGTCTTCCATTACAATAATTTCTCGTAATAATTTCTAATAACCTTTAGTGATAGAAAACCAGAGTTTGAATTATCGACTCATTTTCATTTAAAAACACAACAAAACAAGAAAAAATAGCATTTGGGGAACCTATATAGCCCAATTCCCAAAATTAGGACACTCTAATTGGTCTAGAAGTTAGAAATCAAATCAAGCATTTTGGATCTCAAAATTTTATTTATTTATTTTTTACATGATTTAAGGCTCAAACCAAACACATTGAAACCAAGATTAGTGCTTTTGTGTTTCATATGTGATTATACAAAGATTGTTTCTCTTTCCACTCTCAAATTCTAAGGACAAAACTTGATATAAAAAAGTTTGATTACTGAAAATACACCTTCAAGACTATAGGGATCAAAGAGTAAAAAGCATAAATTTTTTAATTAATGAATGGAAACATACATTGTACCTTTAATTTGGCATAGAGGTGTTTGGTGTTATGATTTAAAAAAAAAAAGTATTTAGATTATTTTGATATATTAATATCAAAAATATTTTAAAAAATATTATTTTATTATATTTTCAAATAAAAAACAATTTCTATCTTGTTTCTAAACGCTCCAATAATATAAATGCTGGACAGTTCTTTTTAATCTATATTCCATTTTTATTTATAGTTGAATTCCATAATAACAACTCGCAATTCAATGGTGGAAGAGAACCTTATAACGTTGCTTCCGAAAGAGGGAGAGCAGTTCAACACATAAAAGTACGATGACCAATGACCGATGTGGGAAGCTTGTCAAACTTGAGGGACTTAAAAAAAAACTCTTCACAGTGACATGAACAGTCATATTTGAAAGGCTGAACAGGATCAACGAAACAATTAAGCTTAAAATCTCATATTTATGCGGTATATATTTAATATTTTATGATGCTTTCTTGTGGTCACTGCAATGGCATAGTCGTAATTTTTTTCCCGGACTTTTTCTCATCTATTACAGAAAATTAACTTAAAATATTAAGTGCCCAGCTATAAATCAATTCATAAACCAAACAAGTGGGCTATATTAAATTCTGGGTGCTGATGCATGGGAAGGTGGTGGGTGCGGTGGAGCCTATGATGTAGCAAGTAGCAAGTTCTTATGAACTGGGAATTAGCTACAGACCATAGGCAAAGAAAACTATACCTAAAACAAAAATGGGAATCAGCACAAATCGCTGCGATGGAGCCTAGCGAGGAGAGCTTGCTATTCATTTTATATGTTGCTTGCCATTTTAGAGATAAGGACTCATGGCCACTGGCTAGTGATCTCAACTGTTATAACTGGTCAGTGAATTAATCAAGCATGTAACTTTGGTGTTGTTATTTTCGGCTTCTTTAATCTGGACAACAGAGAAAAACTAGATCGATTAATTTTAAATTCCAAAGCATAAAGGAGCATCAATTCATAACTAGCAACAAATAGGACTTTTGTTGATTGGCAATGGTAGAACTTTGGAGCAGACAATCCGAAGGTATAAAGTTTTGAGAGTAATTTGATGCCAAATTTCCTTACCGAGATCCTATTTTGTGAACAAGAAGAAGAAGAGGAGTTAAAGCAATACGGAGACCTTCAACACAAATCACTCCAGTTGACTAATACCTTTTAGTTAGGCCTTCTAGTTGATTTGCTCCAGCGAGTTTCCAAAAAAAAAAAAAACAGTTAATTCGATATTAATTTAGTTAATTTGATTGGTCAATCACTTATCTATCATCTCAATTAAAACTTAGTTTAATTTAAACAAAATTGCTTTAATTTTTTTATATAAATAAACAAAAAATATAGTTTTGATTAACTTGGATTAAACTTCTTAATAATAACCTGAGTTCAGTCTTGAGTCGGATAATGATTCAAGTTAAATTTAATAAAAATATTAAAAGATAAAAAAAAAAAGATTATAAGAATAAAAAAAAATAAAGAATAAAGAACTTAGGTGATTAAATGTTTTTGAGTTGTTTTGTAGTAGAATAGCAGTAATTAATGATATATGTGTACGAGGGCAATTAGATGCTGTAAATTTTTGGTGTACTATATTTGGCAGCGGGTGCCTAAATTCCAGGATGTAGCGTCTCCAACTGGAGAGGTGGAGACTGCCGACGAACAGTGCTTTTCGATGACCAAAACATTGCTGGAAAATCCAGATATTTAAGCGTTGTCGCGTCACATCATCACTCCTAGCTGGTCCCATCTTCAAAATAACACACTTGCCATTTTATATTTAAGTTTTTATATAAAAAATAAATTATATTTTGATGTTTAATAATATCATAAGAAAATAAATTAGAAAATATTTTTTAATAATCATTTATGCCATAAAAAATTTAAAAAATTATTTTTTTTTCAAGTTTATCTAGCATGTATAAAAGAGTAAATATAACTATTTTATCACTCACAAGAATATTACTATGTCTAAAAAAATGTAATGGTAAAAAAAAGAATTTATTGTATGTATAGTTTGATTTAAAAAATATAACTATATATAATACATATTTTAAATATATAGACATATAACTAATTTTTGGTGTTTGGAGAGCATTGAAAATATTATTTTTTTACCCTATGGCATCCTAGTTTTATTATACAGTTTATATTATTTAAAATATATGATTATTGTATAGTATAACATGTTTTGTATTTAAATGTATTTTCTATCAATACTATCTCAATTAAAGTCTTATATAAACTAACATATCAAATTAATGTACTTTTATATTGTATATTAACATATCCTAATATATTATTTCCTATATAAATATATTAGTAACTTATTATTTTTAAGTAATATTATATTTGAAAGTATTTTATTAATATAGCATTGTTTGTATAATAATAATAAAAAAGTATAATAATAATAAAAAGTAATGTACCATTTTAGTTTTTGAGTTTTCTGGAAGTGTTTTCCAAACTCTTAAACTAGAAAATATTTTTTTTACCATTTAAAGATAATGTTTTCTTTTAATTGGATAGTAAACTTTATCGATAAGTTTTTCAAAATATAGAAAGTGCTTTTCCACAATATAGTAAATTTTATTGATAAGTTTTCATTTAATCAGATAATAAATTTTAAAGATATTTATTTTTTATTTATTTTTTTATTAAGATAACCTAACCAAACACAATTCAAATAATTTCAAATTAAATGTATTTTGTAGTATTATGATTTGTCTCACAAATATAATTAAAGAATTTTTATTCATAAATATGCATGTATATAATAACTAGGTTAATTTTATTTGATTTAATCAAACTAAGTTTAAATAATAATTAAAAAAAATATTCAGGTATGAATTGAGATATTTTAAAATTTGATAGATCATGTCCCTTAAAATTAAATTATGAAATTAAAATAAACAATTCAGATATTGATATTGAAGTAATAAATAATTTGTTATAAAATTATCAAAAATGCTAAATTCAAATTAGAAATTATATTTTATTTTTAAAATCAAATAACTATCAAATATCAATAACATATTTGAACGCCTATCGACTCATCCATGCATGAATGAAATCCAATT